AAGTTGAATTATTTTAATATCTATTGCAAAATTTTGTACAGACAAGACAAAAAAGTAGAAAATAAATAAAATAAAATAAAACTTTTTAATATACAACGCTTTTATGAATGGACTAAAAATTAGAAAATAATCTTTCTTAGTCCCATAGAATTTGTATAGATAACTTTTGATTTTGAAATTTTAGCAGAAGTCATTATAAACCATTTATGAGATTGAAAATGCAAAGCGTGGGGCTCATGTCATAGACCTGAATTGATATGAAGAGTAATATATGTATGAATGTGGATATATGAATAACGACCGCTTAAAATCGATCTCAAATTTGTACTTTCTCTGCAGAAATTGTAGGTCTATGGTATGTAGTTTGACTATTGTCAATTAAATCTAATGCTTTGTATTGCATGCGCTCCACGTTTTTCGTTTTCAATCAATGGTTTATAATGACTTTTGCTAAAATTACAAAATCAACAACGGGCCCTCAGCTTAGATGAAAATGCTTCAGTTTAAGATAAAATAAAAACAACAACAACATAAAACAAAATAAAATCTTTATAAGAGCTGTTTTCATTATAAAGGTACCGGTAAGGTACCGCGCGGTATAACTCCGTATGGCAAGTTCGCTCATGTATGGATATACATATATACATTTGTATGTAGTTAACTTACATACATACATTACCCAGTAGAAATTCTATGCATACGACATCGCTGTTGGTGGCATGAGCTTGCTGCTCTTTATACATGTGTGCGTATAAATTTCAAAATTATTTGCAAGAATCTCCACATACACAACAAACCTACAACCCAAATGTATACTATACACTTAGCTTTTAATTTTAACATTTTCGCACCTCCCTATCCCTATCCCTATCTTCATCTAAAGCAGGGATCACAAGATTTGTACATTTTAACAGTTACAGAGTGGTGTTGTTTGAAAGTTGTTATTGAGCTAAACTCATTGTGCAAGCGAGCACTGCGGCCGCTTTGATAACACCTAACTTCGCCGTCACTCAATCGTTGGATTACATGTATACGTATATTGAATGAATTTTTATAGTAACTTACCTTTTATAACAATTAACCTTCACGTCGCTCAATTGTTGGATTATATATATTTAATGAATTTTTTATATTAGCGTATCTTAAATTTGTGGCTATACCAACGCGAGCAACCTTAGTATACGCTTGTATTGAACCGTTTCTATTCTTGAATTTGTATTGAATTTGTAACCTGTTGACAGTCTAAACGCTATGTAATGATGAGTGTGTTTGCGGGTGGCAACGCAGGCGTTGTTAGCTCGCTACCATGCTCGCTACTTTACATGCACATCTCTATATGGTTTTGACATTTTNCTCGAGTCGAAAACCCAAATTAGAAAAAATTACACATACACATTTAGTTATCTTAGCCGCAATACAGCAACATAAGCAAATAAATAGGAACAAATTCCTAGATTCCCTACTAGTCCCTACACATTTATACAAATTTTCTCTACTTGAATATTACACAACCCATATACTCATATACATATTCATATTTATAATACATAATATTTGGAATCGTACGATACAGTGGTCGGTGTGAGCTTCTAAGCGCTTGCGATAAAGCGAAATAAAATCGCCATAGGTAAATACAAAGACGATACACATATGTACATACATGCAATAACCAAGTGGATACAGTCGTGTGCAATAAAAAAATTGCATTTTCGTAAAAATAAAGTAAATATTCTTCTCTCGGTCCGTATTCAAATCTAGGGAACAAATACCTTTGATACATAAATATATACTATCGAATAGCACAACCAAACATTCACATTCTCATAAAATAAATAGAAATTCTATTAGTATTAATTTGTCACAACACTGACTGATGCAGTGAGTTTTCAGTTTATCACCTTCTCATTCCTAAAAAACCAGTATACATCAAGTTAATTTACTTCTGCGACAAGCCTTATAGTGGAATCCCAACCCACGAAGTTAAGTGTCCAGTGGATACCAAACTCACAAATTCATCTATTTACAATTTTTCATTGGGACAAACACTCTAGGACTCATCAACACAAAGCTTGTCTACCTGAGTTCAAGCGTTAACGCTATCATTATACAATTGCACCCAGCCTTTAATCTCTCTAGATTTTACTCAGTATCGTTAATTGCCTATTTCTCGAATGTTTGGCGCACAAAATACTGACGATAGGCCAAAAACACCCAAAATGAGTGACGAGGAAAAATCCCAAGGGACTTCCACGGAGTCTCAACGCTTAACGCGGGCAGCTGGGAAGTCGAACAAAAAAACAAAGCAATCGTTCGCCTCAGCTAAGTTCATCTCAGAAACGGATAACTTCTTGGACTACTGTACTCGATTCAGGTCCACCCCA